CCTGATGTCCCAAACGCCTCTGCAGATTCTTTAGCAATCCCGTTGTTGTGCCATGTGGGGTTTTCCATTCGATACATTTTGCATATCATCACCACACTAGTGTTGTCTATACTGAAGTATGAACCATAACCATTTAAAAACACTATATATTTAAAAGAGTGGGGGTACTGAAAACATAATAATGTGCTCTTGTATCCATCACACTGACGTTCATTGTTGGTGTATTTGTGTCCCCCGTAATACTGGTCCCTTGGTGTGAATCTTTTAATATCTGTAAGTGCGTACGAATAAAAAAAACTCGAACTCCGCACACTGCGTATGTCATACGATTGTTAGGGATACAGCTTCTCGGCGAAGAGTTTGGCGGTTACCGTGGCAGCGGGTAATATTTCTTCTAGTTGTCACCCTCCTGGGTGGCGTGACACGGAAACGTGAAGATGCGTCAATGGCCAATGAAATTAAAGTATTTTGCATGAAGGTAAGATACTATTAAACTATTAAACATGATGTTTTACTTCAATCTCTCTCTGCGGTTAGTATATGTGGTAAATGTTTTAATGTTATAATAACAATGTATAAGAATTTATCAGCTTGTGTTAGAACTTTAAATGGTTTGTCTAAATGTTTTTCTTGTAATATTGGTACCCGTCAGGGTTGTGTTTTAAGCCCGCAATTATTTATTATCTTCATTAACAGGTTATGTACTTTAATGGAACTGGGGGGTGGTTCAGGTGTAACAGTTTCATCAGATTTGGATAATGGCTGTTCACTTATGTTTGCTGATGATGTTTCAACCTTGTCTGATACATTTAACCAATTACAGAAAAAGATAAGTGTTCTTGAGAAGTTTTGTAAATCTACTGGTATGTCAGTTAATCTTAAAAAGACTAAGATTCTTGTTTTTAGAAATGGTGGGCCTCTAAGAGATTATGAAAAATGGTATTATGATGGTAAACAAATTGAAGTTGTATCTTTTTATAAATATTTAGGACTTGTATTTACACCAAGACTTGTATGGAGTAAAGCCTAGACATGTTTTTTTTCTCAGGCCAATAAGGCATTATTTTCTGTAAATACCTTTCAGAGAAAACACTAATCTCCCCTATCATCACTGAGATATTCATGACGGAACGTGAAGACAAGGCCCTGCTTATATCCCCAACCCCAACGACAACCCTGAAGACATCCTCGAACACCTGAATTCCCAACATCCCCGTATGCAGTTCACAAGGGAAGAAGAATCTGACAAGTTCCCTTTCCTCGACGTCCTATGAAAGAAAGAAAACAAGCTCTCCACCACTGTCTAAAGGGAAACCCATCCATACCGACCAATATCTTCACTTTACGTCCAACCACCATCTACATTTTAAGAAAGGCATCATTTCCACCCTCAGAACAGACCCATTGTGGATGTGGAGACTTCTATACACCCTGCCCGCCCCCAACAAATTAAAGAAAACAAAACTTCAATAAAAAAAAACGACTCCAAATCCGTCATAGCTGACCACCCCCAAGCCAACCCTGACCATGCCATCTTATGGAACAACATCGATATCCTGGGAATTAACCGAGTAGACTACAAGATTAGGAAACTCCTTGAAGCCATAAATATCCAACGCTACAGCTCCACCATGAATCGAGATCAAGGCTGTTTCATCTCCTCGTCCTATCACCACCTAATCAAAGACGACCGCCAGTAATCCTTCCATACCTCCCTTGTCCATCTGGCTTCCACGCTCACCTTTGTGTATTGTAATCACAACTAGTGTACTTCAACCTACTTATTATCATCTCAATGTACGTCAAACTGATCAATTGTATAAACTCAACTCTAATCACAACCAATCACTCTGTACATCAACCTACTCTGCTAAAAACACTGATCACATATCCAATGTCAATCAACCTGTTAATTGTAAATACTCACTATGCAGCAATGTATATATTCTCTTTGTTTCAAAATGTACCACTTGCTTGATAACGGTGTTAGTGAGTGAGTGAGGATGGTTTTACGCCACGTTTAGCAATATTCCAGCAATATCACGGCGGTGGACACCAGAAATGGGCTTCACACACTGTACCCAAACGGCGTTATTACCTACGCCGAAATGTCGCAGTCATTGCAATAAAGAAGTTGACTATCCATAGTTTCCTTTAACTTCTAAAATGCCTCTCAAACAATGCAGATGGCACGCCATGAACAGAAATGCATGTATTGTTCAAGGAAGCGTTAATTCTCTCACTCACTCACTCACGATCACTCACTCACGTGTTACATTCAGCCTCAGAGAAAGAGGAAATATTACAGCATCTTAGCAAACAAAACTTCAAGCGGTGTTTTTCTTTAATTCAGTATAACAAATATATTAATTACAATGTATTCTCAGCATCACACTTCACAAATGATATACGAGTGCTGTTCTCCTAAATTGAGTGTGTATCAGTTGGTGTCTGCCCAGGACGTCGACCCTTGGGTGAAATGTCACGGTTCAGTTAAGAAAGAAAGGTCCACGTCCTGTCCATTTGACCTTATGCCAATTAACAGGGGATTAAAAAGACAAAGAGATAATCCAGTGTTTTCACAAGGCGGTAATCCGGATTATGCGGTTGAGAGCACAGGAGAATAGTACTATATTTCGTCCATTATATTTCGTATACAAAATCATCAAACATAAAGTAGGTGAGATGCAGCATCTGCAAACTGTTTGGTGCTGGCTTGTCCACTCCTAAGACGTTCCAAGTCCCTGAATTTCTTGTTCTTCAATGGACGTTTTTGTCCACTGTAACAGGCGGACTTCAGTGTGCTCCTAAGCATGAAATTTGATTACTTAAAAAATATTGTGGTGGGCCTTTCCCACCAATCTCTTCAGACGAGAGTGCCACCCTTCCAGACGGTTGTTGGTGCTTGGCTGTCGGAATCGTGGTGGTTCCACTTGGATCTATGGACAGTTAACGCAGTGGAGTTATAGTTCTTTCCTGTGCACTTCGAATCTCGCTTCCTCTTATTTCACTCGGTAAATATATCCAACAAAACACAGGTATCTTCCACCACGAGATGTAGGAAGAAATGACCGATTTAACTGTGCATTTGCCATTTCGAAACTTAATTCTACCGCGAGTTCTTTCCTTACATATATCTAAATTGAATGAGATATGTTCATCATTGTAAAATGCACTCTCATGTGATGACATTAATGACATTTTGAGTGAAGTACGTGAGTGAACTATGTTCACGCGTTACGCGATGCTGACGTTATCGAAAATCTTAAAACAACACCTACTAGCGGATTAGTGTGACTCTAGCAACACCTTCAACATCAAAGTTTACCGCTGGTCGACTTCGTGTCCATAGAGAAATTTTAAAAGGTCGACTTCTTGTCTATAAATATATCAATTCCAGTCAAGCACAAAAGACCCGCGAAGATCCGAGTTAGAATTGATCTTCAGTAACCCATGTTTGTCGAAAGAAGCAACTAACGCGATCGGGTGGTCAGGCTCGCTGACTTGGTTGACACGTGTCATCGTATCCCAATTGTGTAGACTCGATTATTTGCAGACCGTCACCATTTAGCTGGAATATTGCTAAATGCGGCGTAAAACTAAATTGTGAATCGACAAAACGTGAACCGCTCTTATAACGTTTTATTTAGACTGTCACAGAACTCGACTAGAAAGCTTTTTACTGGTAAAAACAGATGTCTCCCCCTTCCCCCAATTCAACGTTGAGACCTCAACAGAAAAAAATAATTGAAACAGAACAAATTAAATTGAAAGAAAAGTTCAAACCCCCAAGAGGCACATCTGCTTGTCATGGAGAGGCAGTATGGCAAATTGGGAGAGGTGGGTCAGATAATTTCAGAATTTTGCTCCCGAAACGAACTTTAAACTTCAAAAAGACTTAGTCCAAATTGTTGCCATGAAAACAGAAATATGTCTCCCGAACCTTCGGGGGGATGCATTATTTACATCAATGAGAGATTTTACGCACAAGACCTTATACCCGTCCAACTATTCCATGAGAGGATTTTGAGATGAATTGATTTCATACTAATACCTCACGTTGAAAAAAATAGTAATCATTACTGACCAAAACAGAATACAACATATGTTATATTTGGGATTACACTTTCTTAGTAAAGTACAGATTATAGTACTTTTGTTGGGTTGAGTCCCAACCCGAATTCGAACTCACTCCCTCAGAGTACTAGTCAGGCACCTTATCGCCAGCACACAAAGACAGACTCCTAACCCGCTCAACCACCGCGGCTTCATCAATCCAAAATATATAATATATGTTGCATTTGACCATATCTAAATTGCATTGTGTATTCACAAAACAAAATAGGTAAGTAAAACAAGTATGATGAGATTGCATTGGGAGCTTTCTGGTGTCCCCCGCCGTGGTATTGCTGGAATATTGCTAAAAGCGGCGTAAAACTAAACTCAGTCAGTCATGCATGGAGCAAGTTGAAAACTAGCGCGATCTCTTACCTGGATATTGTAACTCATGTACCCGAATCGGTGCATTGACACCATCAAAAGTGCGTTCCATAATAAAACGTAGTAAATACAACATCTTAGTTAGCTTAGATTTTTAAAAACTTGATATCCCGAATCTGAGTCCTATCTTGCCTAAATCAGCAAAGTGATAATTATGCTTTAACATTCTGGTATATGGACAGGCTATAAAATTGATAATAAGATTAACAATATTGATAAGGGTGAAATCTGTATCTCTAACTGCAAGCGATGGGCATTATTGTGTGGACCGTATCACATACATCATTGCAAAATGTGACGATGCGAGATCTAAATGTTCAATTTACCATTCAGGGTTTTATCATCAACGCGCTTAACTTCCACCCCCTGCTGGGATCTGTTTCAAGTTCCAGGTGTCAGCAATACAATTAATAATGTCAATAAATGGAAACAGATTGTATGAGATTCATACCCATTGTGAAAATTATGTATATATAGCCAAGCCTTGAGTATTCCATCACACTGGCTCTAGCCATCCTGAAGGTAGCATCATGCAGTCACTCCTTGTCCAAGCTCTACTGATCGTTCTCTGCGTTATCCATGCAGGTATGTATTTTGATTCACGTTGTTTCATACCTGTGGTCCGGGTTAGAATGCAGTTGTTGGCGATCTATAGCCCGTTTTTATACTGAAGTGTCCTAATTTAAAATCCAATTTGAGAGAGAGTTGCTAGTTTTATTCCTGGATACTGTGGTATTCTAGTTGATTTTACTGTCCTTCGTCGGCAGGTTTTTATAATTTATATGTATTTATGGTGAATTCATAACTTGTTTATAGTCACGATATGGCTGAGATATTGCCGATGTGTCTTAAAATCTTAACTCACTCACTCACCGGGTTAGAATGAGCCTTCAGTAAAAACATACACGGTAATTATTGCTACACAAAGGATATGGTTGCCATTGTACTTGTTTTGTTTGTACTTGTTTGATTCTTTATACAAGAAATTACAAGAATGTTTACACATCATTTGGTATTTTGCTATGCCAGGCAATCCGTCAACTGAGGAATGACCGACCTATTTAAGCGTTATCTCATCCCAGACGTAAGAGGCGAATAACGGGATCGGGCGGTCAGGCTCGCTGGCTTGGTTGACACAGTCACGTCATCGGTTCCCAATTGCGCAGATCGATGCTCATGCTGTTGATCACTGGCTTGTCTGGTCCAGACTCGATTATTTACAGGCCGCCGCCATATGGCTGTATTTTTGGGCAAAATACACTTTGGATGAAAAGACATAAAACTTTGGGAGAATTAACATGTAGTCATATCTGTATGAAGGGTGCACCTATTCTTAAGTTAGTAAACCGCCTCCGTGGTGTAGTGGTTAGAGAGTCCGCCCGGAGAACGGAAGGTCGCGGGTTTGATCCCCGGCCGCATCGTACCTCAAAACGTTAAAATATGGTACTTGTTGGTCCCTGCCTTGCGCTCGGCATTAATGGGTACACCAAGGACTGGTCGGCTCGGAGTCAGTATAATGTCTCTGGGTGGAGTATTCATGCTTAGTGAGCTTGCACTATAAAACAGTTTCAGTCTTGGCTAGTACAAGCAGCCACAAATACAAACGCATGCACATCGTCATATGAGCGAAATATTCGTAAGCACGGCGTTAACCCCGTTTCACCTCACCTTAAATTAGTAACATGTATATAGAAATAATGACAATAATAATAATGATGATGATAACAAACTCATGATTTTTTTAAACTTTATTAGATAACCCGTTTGGTTAACATTTTAATCGTCCTTATTTTCGTGACAGAGTGCGGAGGAAGCAGAACCCCATGTGCATTAATGTCGCGGTCATCAAAGAGCAAGAGACACACGGAGCCTGTCAACAGAAAAAGGTATATAGAAGAATATGTGTGTCCCAGTGAAAATGAATTGTGCTATTATGTTTACTTACATCAATTTCCCAACTTTAAGGGAAAGTAAAGGATTTTGAATGTTGTTGCGAATGTCAAGTTTCTTGGATACACCCAGTCAAGTTGCAAGAGAGAAAACAAGTAGTATTGGTAGAAATGATAGAAAATTTCCAATGACAGTGATGATGTCCCGGGGTTCTAAAGCAAGCCTATTTGTGAACTTGGACTGGCTACATTCGTTGTAGCTTGGCCTACAGGCAAACGATGCGGCGGTACTAGACAAAGGTTTTCATCGGCTGATAATGCCGGGTTTATCTATTGCATGCTTTTTTGACGCAATTAAATATCTGTTTGCTTTTTCTGTTAATAGAAGAGGTGGGCATGTCTATCCGAGAGAGAAATAATAATATTCATAGGCAGGTGAAAGTGTTGAAACCACACACTCCATAATATTCTTGCAAATAATTGAAACAACAGTCAATATTCTGTAGTTACCGTTTCATGACTGACATAATGTTTGTGCGCAATATACCGTCTGCTGCGCACCGCCCTGTTCCATACAATGACTGCCTTTCAGGGATTAATATGCTGAACCTGACTACACTTGAAATGTCACCACACACCGTGAAAGTACTAGGATACTATTCAAAGCGGGTTTTAAAGCTGAATTTGACATCGTAGATCGTAGATTGATTGCGTAGATCGATGCACATGATGGTGATCACCGAGTTGATCATTCAGCTTTAATACTGTACAGCATAAAACAAAAACAAACAACAACCCCAAAACACTAACTGAATCACTGAAAAAGCATTCGTTGCATACAGAGGAAAGCAGACTGGGTCCCGATATTGCTCAGCACCTCAAACACCGAGAGAGTGTTTTAATCGCTTAAGGGTTTACTCAGCAAGTGGTGTATTTGTAAACAAGTTATGTTGTGTTTACTTAAACTTTAACATTTCAGAAGGTGTTGAGGAGGTGTTCAATAAATCGTTAATATATAACACTTTGAGAATTAACTACCTGCTATTCCAAGTCATGGACTTTCAGATAACTTTACGATGGTGTGTTGAGTGTATAAAGACAGTTGCCTGTTACTTGATGCTTTTTGATCCAGGCAAGCGACCTGCAGTTCAAGTGACACCTATAGGACAACTGATGGCACGTGTAATAACGTGGAGAATTCGGGCTGGGGAGCTGCAGGTGCTCAATTTGCAAGGTGGCTGGAACCTGAGTACGCCAGCGGTCAGTTGATACATTTTCAATTTAATTTGATGCTCCTTTATATCTTGTCACAATGGTAACAAACTGCTAATGATAATTGGACATTGTATATTCAAAACATTTCAAACAAAGCCCAGTGTTAAAGTCCGTTTGATTTCATTTGAGACCTATGAATTGCTCACTTACACAAAATCTAATAATTACAACAAAACCAACTTTTGCACAGTCACATGAAATCGACAGACCAACTCTGATGAGTTGTTTAACAAACGATCATTATTTTGTTGCGGCTTAACTCTATTTCTTACGAGTTGGGACACTTGCTGGTAGAACAGCCAGGTAATCAACAAGCGTGTGTAGAGAAATTTCAATTTCACACGTACAACCCCCAACACCCAGGCACCACACCCCACCCCCTCCCCTCGAAAGAAATAGCGACAAGTACCAACAAAATAATGATCGTTTATAAACAAATTTTTTCATTCGGATTTCCAAAATTATGAGACAATAAGAGTTGGTCTGCCGATTTCATGTGACTGTGCAAAAGTTGGTTTTGTTGTAATTATTAGATTTTGTGTTAGTGAGCAATTCATCGGTCTCAAATGAAATCAAACGGACTATAGTGTAACTGAGTGTCATCTTAACAATTTCATCACGTTTGAGTTTAATGGAAGTGAAAGCAATGTTCGTGATATCCAGTGGTGCTATTGTCTAATGTATAAAGTGCTGAGAAACCTGGCGACAATTATACATTCTTTTACATACACGTTTTCAAGGTATATAAAGAAACTCTACTGCACATTTAAACACGATGATGAAACAACGAACAAACATTTGTGCTGTATATTTACAGGAACTGGTGGAAACCCCAGAGCTCTGGGCTCTGATGGCTCAGTCCTGCCTAACCCAAGAAGTATCAGCAACCATGTTCACTTTGAGCTGAGTTTCCTCTCCATCAAACACTCCGTCATGTTGATGCAATGGGGTCAGTTTATTGACCATGATATTACCGGAACTCCGGTGTTGACAGGTATGTATTCTTTTCAAAGATGTTGTGGATGCTTAGAACAAACTTAAAGTTGTTTGAGAACAAACATTAGAGTCAATTTTTATGACGATAATGAATAAAGTTGGAACATATTGCAACCAGCAGTGACGTACTACAACTGAAGTTATGACCGCCAACAGTCTTGAAGAACGTTTAGGATAAGATGGCAATATTTTTAATCAGCAGTGCGTATTACCGCCACATTTTGTGAAAGGGCAGATATGACCTATTGCGCTTGATAGTCTTCTAATGGTGATTTGAAGGAGTCTGTCCCACTACTTTTCCATTGCCTGGCTTCGGTCAACCAACTAAACCGTGGCCAGTGATTGTGAGCTAGGCTAACACACGGTCCATTCCTTGCTAATAGGACGAGAAAGACTTTCCGAATGTTGTCCTGATAGTCCCTCTAATGACCCTTCCTTGCACAGCACGTAATGGGGTTGTCTCTGTCATGGTGAGGCCACCCTCGATCATAACTGCCCATCGCCAAATTGGTGTTGCGGTCTCAAGTTGACAGTTACCCCAGTTTCTATAATGCTTACTCACTAACGTTCCCTGATATTTCAGCTTTGAAAGTATTGGCAAATAGCCCGTAGATGTGTTGAAGATGACACATGACTTGTTCCGAACAAGTGGAACCAAGAAAGGAAGTAAATCACAATTCTGTGAATGTAGTATCAATAGGATTGACAGAAATAATGATCCACAGAGGTTAATCGACCAACGTGTCGAAATAGGAAATTACACCCTACGAACTTGGTATCGCCAAACGATGTGCGACCCCTGCAAACTATTTTAAGTTTTAATATTCTTGCATATCATGTTTTTTAACCTTTGTTCTTTTTCGTAGTACTGACATTTGTCTTTTATATTTCCCAACATTTTGTATATGTGAAATTGTTTCCTTAGTTCGATCCTCTTGACTGAAGTCAACTTTAAAGCGTTTTGATCCTTTACAGATAACGGATCTGATATTGACTGTTGTGACAGAACTGACTCTGTTCCCACCGAGTAAGTCATATTATATATGTAACACTGAAAATACCAATACACACAACATCATACTAGAACTATAAATATCTATGTCATATTATTCATCTGAATATCATAAGGCAACAAGTAGTTCAAGTACATTTGATTAATTACTAACTTCAGATTAGGACAAAGTTAGACGGAAGTATAAAACGTTGACCTTCTATCAACAGCACAAAGCAATAAACATTAAGAATGTTTTGCTTCAATACTAATAACGTTTCTAGTTATATCATGTACCAAAATTAAGTGAGTGACTGAGTTAATCTGTATCGTCGCATCGGCAATATTTCCGCCATATCTTGACGAGAACCAATTTGACATTGATAAGGAATTAATGCATACTATAAACCTGCCGTCAAAGGACAGCAAAACAACTAGAGTATCACAGTTGGATTTATAACTAGCATTTAATGTTAAAATAATAGCACAACACGGACAATACACAATACAGAAACAGGCTATAGATCGCCAGAAACTAGGGGACTTACAGTACTTTTGCTACCTGCATGGGCTCTAGCTTGATTTACATCGTTCCTTCAGATGTTGGCGATTGTGCTTAAATTTAGCCATCACTTAAAACACAAATATCCTATGATTAAACTCCTGGTATATCTTAATTTACTTAGAACGTTCTGGGATTTACGTACCCTCTCGGGAGAACAAAATTCAGAAAGGGACTTTGAATTAATGTACTTGTAACGTTCCTTTCATCAGCCCTGATTCTCCCTGTTTCCCAATCAACCTTCCTGATGGTGATTTCTACTTTGGCGATGGTAAATGTATGAATCTGGTGAGATCGGAGGCTGTTTCCGGAACAGGCACAGATTCCTCAAGTAAGGACATTTGATGCTCTTTCTTTGGCAATATCTAACGAAGCTTCAAACTCAATACGTATATGATATTTGATCAAAGATAACCTTTCTCTGAAACTGAACTGATTAGAAAATTGTTTTTGGATACATTATAACTGCAGAAAACGGTTTAAGCCTTATTACAAGTAATCTTACACAGTAAACAAATTTCATTGCAGATGCTCGCCAACAGTACAATGAATTATCAGCCTTCATTGATGGATCCCACATCTACGGCATTTCGGACGCCGAAATGAACGAGCTCAGAGACATTGATTCTGGATGTATGTTGCAAGTTCTGATTTCATCATAACATTGTATACATATGTAGGACTCTGATCTGTGGCGGGTCTCTAATCTATGGCGGGTTTCCTAATTCGTGGCAGGTTTGATTGTTCGATTGTTACATGACGTCATCGCGTAATTACGTGATGACGTCATAATCGATAACCGTTCCCGACGTTATTCGACACTAGCCGTTCGTGGCGATAGTAATCTCAGGAAAATCTTCAAAGCTAAGAAACTGGAAACCATAGAAAATGATGGTTTTGTAATTGCGGAGCCACCTACAAAGAAGAAGAAACCCGTATCAAACGATCCCAATGCAGAAACATTTTGGAACGACATGGAGAAAATACGTGAGATTACAAAACTGAAAACGCTGAATCCGAAATGGGGAAGTGTAAAGATTTGCAAGATTAGCATGGCCTAAATTTTCGAAGCTCTCTTAGTTCTATGATAGTCGTAAAAACATTAGCAATATCGACAGACCATCTTAGCGCTAACAGAGCTTCGAAAATCTAATCCCAGGGTTATCAGTAAGTTAGAAACACATACATGAATGCCATAAACCCCTATTGTACCTAGGTGAAATGTTCCAATGACGATGTGTAGGAAATCCTCCACAGATTAGGGTAGGTACGTCAACTAGCCATGGATTTGGAAATCCGCCGCGGATTTGAGGCCTGCCATGGATCCGAGTCTTACATGTATCCTTATATTACATGTAAATACTTGAACAATATATGGCACATGCATCAAATTTTATTTTCCTTTAAATTATGAAGTAATCATATCTTATAATTTTTAATGAATAACCTAACCACAATTAGGTGTGATAATTAGTTGTAATTCGTCATTCCATCGTTTTCCAGCTGGGTTGCTGAAAGTGGGAACAAACAATCTCCTGCCACAAGGAGATTCCGATGATTGCTTTCTTGATGCGTCAGATTCAAGCAACTACTGTTTCAAAGCAGGTCGTTACCAGAAAACAATATTCTCTTCTTTTGCACCTGAAGAATGTGTAACTTGAGCAAATTTTGTAGAGTGATGATGATACACAATGTGATTTAACATTTCAATATATATCAACATTTTAATATTATAAATGCAATACATACGTGATTCTGAAAAAGGGTGTGTAATGTGAGCCTTGATGATGCTGATGATGAAAACGAATGAGTGAGTGAGCTTAGTTTTACGCCACACTCGCCAATATTCCAGCTAAATGGCGGCGGTCTCAAAATAATCGAGTCTGGACCAGACAATCCAGTGATCAACAGCATGAGCATCGATCTGCGCAATTGGGAACCGATGACATGTGTCAACCAAGTCAGCGAGCCTGACCACCCGATCCCGTTAGTCGCCTCTTACGACAAGCATGGATTACTGAAGGCACATTCTAACCCGGACCTTAACGGGTCGATGATAACGAATGTGACACAAACTACATTGTGCAAATTATGCTTTTGCATTTGATCATAACAATTTCTGCGGAATAAGGTTTTACCGGTATTGTTATAGTTCCCGTTTTACTGTAGGTGACTCGAGAGTGAATGTCTTCCCTGGACTTAGCGCTCTGCACACACTGTTCATGAGAGAACACAACCGTGTTGCAACAGCTCTCAAAGGATTCAACAGTGGCTGGGATGACGAGAAGCTCTTCCAAGAAGCACGACGAATAGTCATTGCTGAACTACAGGTTAATTTTTCATTTTGCAGAATGCAAATAAATAGATAATGAATATAGTGACACGTACATGCACATGGAATAAACATGACAACTGATCTACTGATAATACTCGGTGGCATGCTGAAAACAGCAACTGACCTTTACCAAGCCCAATCTGTCTATTACAATTAAAAATTAACTGCAAACATTAATTCCTGTTACCTGTGCATTCCATATACCCTCAGGTGATAACTTACAAAGAGTGGCTGCCTGAAATTCTTGGTACCAACGGGGTCGCAGCATACGACCTGGGATTCGACAACTACAACTACAATTCTACCCTTGACCCATCTCTAAGTAACGTCTTCTCGACGGCAGCTTTTCGATTTGGTCATTCCATGGTGCCAGAAAACCTGACGATAGGAGGTGATGTCGTGGACACTGGTGACCTGTTCAAGAGGACCAAATATGTCATCAACAGCCTGGATGACGTTATCAGTAGTTTACTGGACGCTCCTGGTGAACGAGCTGATGCGTGGTATGTCGATGGCATGAGGCAGAGAATGTTTGAGGAAGATTCAGCCACAAAGGACGGATTTGACATCGTGGCTCTGAACATTCAGCGTGGAAGGGAACATGGTCTTCCTCCCTACAACGACTGGAGAGACTACTGTGGTCTCGGCAGAATCACTGACTTCGTGACTGGTACTGACTTTGGGCGTATTCAAGCTCGCGATCTTCGAGACATGTAGTAAGTGTTTTTGTCTTCACAGACGTTCCTTTGCAAATTTGATCCGTCCAATTTCGTTTGGTAATACACTATGTTATCAATGTTCATACAATGTTGTTTGATGGGTCGGTCTGTGGTGAACATGTTCTCACCATATTAGTTCCAAAAGCATTTTGTATGAAGAGTAAAGAACCTCTTCTTTAGAGCCTACGATCCACGTAATGGGACGTTACTTTTTCAGCGCTAGCGTCGATGACATTGACCTGTACAGTGGAGGTATTGCTGAAGCTCCTGTTGCGGGAGCAGCAGTAGGAAATACTTACATCTGTCTGATCGGAGAACAGTTCAAGAAACTGAGAGATGGGGACAGGTTCTGGTTTGAATCTACAGACTCCGACACTGGCTTCACATCCGGTAAATAATTGACACCTCCTTCGTGGTAGTTACCAAATCACTTCAACTAACACAGCTAAGAAAGCAGTCATTTGCTTAGAGATACTGTCTTTTTGTATTGAATACCAATGTTGGTATCCCTTTGCAACATTTCTTTGTTTGAATTTAGATCACATAACTCAGCCGATACTCTCGGGTTGTTTTTCCCTCGTTGACTATCTGTTGCCGAATATGACCTGCTACATGAATATTTAAATTTTGCTTGTCATCAATTTTCATCACATTGTTTTTTGTTCAAATATAGAACAAATAGCGCAGCTGAAAAAGGCGTCTTTAGCTCGCATCATCTGTGACAATGCCGACAATATCAGCACTATCCAGCGCCAGGCCTTCATCAACGCTAACGATGGAACTAAGTATGCTGAATTACTATATACCTGTCACATTACAGTAGAGCTGTACAGAAATGAATTCAATTAACAGTTGCATTTTCCAACTACACTATCGCTTCTCATCTACGTGACTGACCTAATAGTAAGATAATTTTTCACACTGAAAATACATAATCTTGTTTAACATATTTCTCGTTTTATGTTGAAATAAGAACCTGAAACGAATGTGATTTGTATGGAATGTGTATATAGCAAGAAATGTGATTCCATTTTAAAACTCGTCTAATGATGATTGGTTTTATTATCAGTAACCAGGTGGGCAACTGCTCTGAGCTGAATGAAGTGCGACTTCGGAGATGGAGAGAATAATGAACTGAGCATTCCTATGACCTTACCGCATTGTGTCAGCTCTGTCAATAAAATATCAACTTGATATATGTGACTTTGTCATACTTGTGTTCAATCAGTTAATTGCTGACGTTGAACATAAATATACACCATAAACACCGTTTCGATTAGTCTTTCAAAAGAGATTCCACTCCCCGTTACCTTGAAGTGGAAATGGAAATGGATCATTGGAAATCAGTGATGACACCAGGTTATAAGTGTGAATGAAATGACCTTACCTTCCCTTACCATAGTTGAAATTAAGAGCTGAAGTATAGCTATTGACGAAGTATAGCGGTTGACGTGTGGTGGTATGTGAGTCGCTACAGTCCGATGGAAAGACATATCTAAAGAACGTAAATCTAAATATTTGTATATGAAATGTGTTTGATTCTAAATTCGGAACCAAAGAAAAAAGGCATCACCTACACATCCAGCATGGAAAAGAAGAACCTTCAAACGCACCATTTCCTCTGTGGAATGATCTTCCAATGCTCCACTGGAAACAGAACAACCCCTTAGCATCTAATGTGTAAGTGAGTGAGTGAGTTAATATTTAACGTCACATCGGCAATATCTCAGCCATATCGTGACGAAACCAATTTATACAATTAAAAATGAAAACATTTTGGAGAGTAAAACCTGTCGACGATGGACAGTAAAAATACTAGAACATCACATATATGAACATAAAACTAGCATGTCAAACTAAAAGATTTTAATTAAAGAAGACAGTACAATATAAAAACAGGTTATAGGTCGCAGACAACTGAAGGTAGATCACCATACTAGGAACCATGAGGACTTACATTACATTTGCTACCTGCATGGGCCCTAGCTGGATTTACACCATCCATTTGGCCACTGGCGATTTAGGAAGACTTAGCCGAAAGTTAAAATAACAGAAATACTACGATTAAAAAGTATGGTTGTACGAAATTGACTTTGCAAGTGTTTTGAACTTACGTACCCTCTCAGGAGGACAATTATTTTACGATACTTTAAGCCCCTTTGAGGATACAGCCACTAACAATCGCAGTTGCTAATTCATACTACCATGTTTAAAATATCATTTATCTATTTACAAAACATATTTTCCAAAATGTATGCAATAATTCTATTTCCTTTAAAAATTCAATTATTAAATGATCATTAACATTATAAAAAAAGATCCTTAATTGTTTTGACATTAAAATATTTATGCCTTGTGATGGAAAAATCAATGCTGTCAAGCACGACATGCTTGACCGTGATTCTTTCATCCCAAGGGATGCAAAACGGAGGATCTTCGCCTTTTAACAAATATTCATGAGTATACCTGGTGTGGCCAAGGCGACATCGTCGCAGGATGACCTCTTCAAATCTTGATTGACAACCCAAATAGATGTAACCAATATAGGGTTTTATTTCATGTAATTTGTTAATACCTACTTGGGTGTCCCACTTCTTTTGCATCAGATCACGGATGTAGGTTCTAATGCTAGCTTTGTAATCAGAATATGGAATAAGAAGTGGTGTCACAGATTTATTGAGTGCTGCCTTAGCAGCAAGATCGGCCATTGTGTTCCCAGAAATGCCAACGTGACTGGGTAGCCAACAAAAGACGATGTCTCATTGGCCAGTAGCAAGCTCTTTATACAATTCAATAATTTCTAATAAAAGTGGATGTTTACAAGAAAGATTTTTAATAGCCTGAAGACACGAAAGAGAATCGGAAATGATGTTGTATTGTTTATATTCTAATGTTTAAGAGAAAGATAAATAACACATACATGTATGAGTGTGTATATAATGTCAGTTTCACTATTCTCTCCAAACAGTGATAAATCAGCTGAAATGTCCAATGAGGACTCTGTGATATTAACTTAAGATTTGTTTTTTAACAATCGTTTCCTTTTGTAAGTTTAACTATTATACTGAGTCTATTGGGGTCTTTTATTATATTTGTAGCTTTTTTGCAAATCTATTAGGGTATCTTCTCCTAGTCGCATATATTTTAACGTGATCTTAACATGTTTAAAGGAATCTGATCAGACAAGAAACGAGTATATACCTTCACGGAATATTTAAATATTTGAAATAAGTTTTGTAGTCATCAACTGTACAATTAAGTTGAGACATTTGTACTGAGTTACAATACCCACAGCCATCAACTGTACATAGTTTCAAGAGATATTACCTGCAACACATAACAGACAAGGTGTGATGAAGCATCCATTTTAGAACCATTACATCTAATTAGAATCATGACAATACGTACAGCATCGCACATGCTTGAAATGTTTGGGAGTCTGAACAGACTGACAGTACTTTTCTGCTGCCTTATAAATATCAGACTTACCATACAATAAAGTGTGCATCGTATTTGTATGACATGGCATTATACCTCGGATAGATACTTGCCTAATTATGTAATATACCGAGAATATAAAGTTAAGCGCCAGCTTATTTCAAATCTAAGATGTGAAGCTGTGGAAATGTTAGGCTAAAATAATTGGGAAGACCAACCCATAGTTACAAAAGGTCCATCTGGTTACTGATATAGGGATATCATAATCATTTGTATTTAACATTAAAGGGAATATTGTTAAAGATATGATAGCACTGCTTTTTAAAGCAAAATTACTATTCCTATTCTGCTTATACAGCACTATTAAACGTAGGTTTCACTTGTCAAAAATGACATTCATGTGACCAAATAACAGCCATTTCTGATTTTCACTTTTCAAAAGAAAGTAACGTTTTTGAGGAAAACAAAATGCATTTTTTCCAAAAGCGCATACATCCTATTTCAAGTAAAAGATGATGGTTTTGTTTTTAAACTAAAAGTACTAAACCAAATTATGATAGTTGTTTTTTTCTGAAAGATTTCCAATGAGACAACCTATATTGGCAAAATATACTGGGTGGCGCTTAACTTTTTATTCACAGTATATATCACTCATCCCTGTGACACCTTATGAAATGCAATTCGGGTGAGGTGATGTGAAATGAGGTTTAACGTCGTACTTAAGAAACATTTCGCTAATATGACGACGTGCATGTGTGTGTTTGTGTGGCTGCTTGTACTAGTTCCGACTTAGCTGGCTTTATAGTTCTAGCTCAATGAGATACCATGCCGCAGTTAAGCATAAATACCCCACTCAGACACATTATACTGACTCCGAGCTGACCAGTCCTTGTTGTACCCATTAATGCCGAGCGCCAGGCAGGGATCAACAAGTACCATATTTTAACGTCTTTTGGTATGACGCAGCCGGGGATCGAACCCGCGACCTTCTGCCCTCCGGTCGGACGCTCTAACCACGGAGGAGGCCCATTCGGAGACTTGTATATAGAATATAGAAAACTATAGAAACATAGGCTATTGTTACAAACATTGCCTGAACTATAAGATGACGAAGGGTGCAGATAGTACAGATTAAAGATGTTTTATCTAGGTTTGAAATTATATCGTAAAAATGTTACCTAAATGCGGTGATCTATAGACATACAGTGAAACCTGCACGGTAATAATTGCCACATAAAAAGATATTGTTGCTCTTTTAAATTGCTTTGTGTATTATTCTTTATGCAAGAAGTTACCACGATGTTACCACAGGATCCTTTCGTCGAGTCCAGTCTCCTCCTTCAGTTGATGGAACAGTGCCCTTGATGCGTGTTCGCCGTGTACCCCCACTATATCTGTGATACATTTTGCATATCACAACCAGACTAGTGTTGACTTTAATGCACTTGAGTGCACACATATGCGATGAAGCATGATCCTTCAGCCATTTTCTCATTTTTACGATCCTGTCCAATGAAATATGGATTTCTCTTCCTTCCCGTTGTAGTTTTATGACCCCTTCTGTACACTGCTGGATTCGGTGCAGTATGTGATTTTTCAACTTTAAACTTAATTCCGGCATGGGATAGCAGAGTAACGGCTGTTGCCTGAAGGCAGTGATTTGTGTACGTGTGTGGCAACTTGGCATTCTTGGAGATGTTTTTCCTCATTTGTGACAGTGATTTTTTGCCAACGCACCGTTAGGTGTTCTACCAAACAGAATCGCGGATATCGTCGACAGATTTCGGATGTTGAAAATTAAAGAACGATTCATTATTGGGATTCAAGTGGGATTTGTACGATATGAAGCATGAAACCAGACACAAAAAGGTAAGATTTCAACATTTGAAATTGTTTTGATATGCTTGGGCTTGTGGCAGTGGGATTTCCTAGACTGCATTAGTAACTTTTCATGATTACCGAAAAGTATTTATTTTTTGCTATTTTAGTATTTCATCATATTATCATTCTGTGTTAGATCAGATGTAACTCATATTGAAAGCTGGCTTTTTTAGAAATAATAGCTATATTTGCTTTCATTCCTTTGATATAATTGTGTTTAGAAGCCGTGCGACAGTCTAACGAAAGGGAGGTAACTAACATGTAACTTCCTTTTGGTTTGTTTACAAAATGTTAAACGTTGCACACCTCTGAAGAATTTTACGCCCCAAATTGTATTTCTCTCGGTTGTTTTCGGTAATGGCCCATCAATTATTTCCCTCAGGCCATTCTCTGTCCCAAAGCGGGACTGTGGAGGGACGCTCGGTGGACAAGATGGAGGCGTAAAGCGCTGGAATTTCCAATGGAAGTGGAAACGTCCGGACTGCTGGGATTGGTGTCTTTTGGAAGATCAATATCCAGAAACAAGTAGCATTAACGTATTCTTTTTGCTGAATAATAATCTTTAACCTTCGAATATTGTACCAAATTAAATACACGAATTCTTGAGATTTGCAGAGCAGTTCATTTGTGAATAAACATCATTGAAGGATATTATTTTATGGCTCTTCTTTCACTTTACTATTTTCTGATCACATATTGATTATGTGTCATGGGATTGTACTCCCCATCATCTTTGAATAATTCTTCGGCGAATTTGTCGTCTTCGAAGATTTTATCAAAATCCCCCAGAAAGAAATTGAGGTGGTAAATTCATGCAGCGAACGTATTAATGTGCGGTTATTAGGCCTTCATTTTCAGGTATGTCGAACACTATT